AGATCCTGAAGAAGACATCTAAAAAATAATGCAAATTACTAAAGCAATAAATAAAAATCACTTATTTTGACTTTGATTGCTCAATCTTCAAACTTCCACCTCAAAGATGCTTCTAAATACTCAAAATCTTCTAAAAAAAACCCTACTAACTTTTTGCAAAATATCAAAAAGTAAATCTAATATCAACGGGTGAGGTTTTGATCAATTTTTGTTAACTTTGAGAAACCCTTCGATCCTAAAAAGTTCAAGTTTTTGGGGGCTTTCTCTTATTAAAATTGACTCCAATAAGTTTTAGGGTTCAAATGAATCTAAAACCCTACTTTTTTGCCCTTAAAAACAAAAAAAATGACCTAAATTGCCCCTACCGAAATCAATTTTCGCCCATGAGCAGGGCGTAAGCCTTAAGCGCCAGCCTAGGCGGGTCCTAAGCGGCCGCCCAAGGATCGACCGCCTAGATTTGCAGCCTAGGCTTGGGCGATGCGCCCAAGCCTTTGGGACCGCCACAACGCTGGGCGGCCCGCTTTTAGAATCACTACTGTAACATTTCACCTATAGGCGTTTTTTAGGTTTTTTCTATATATATATAGGAAAACTCTTGCCGACACCTATAGGCGAAAATGAACAATGATTTCGCCTACCCTCATCACCATCCAAATTTCATCGCACAGTCACAATTTTCCGATAGTGTTTCAATTTTAATTTTTTTTCTACGAATCCAAATTACTTGAAATTTGGAACGTGTGTACATCTTAGTGAGGTGCACCTAATAAAAATATGAAAAAACTAATTCACAAAATATAAATTGACCAAAATACCTACGTAAATTTCAGATCATTCCTATTAGTAAAAACAAAATGAAAATTGAAACACCACCAGACAACTGTGACTGTGCGATGAAGTTTGGAAGGTGATGAGGGTAGGCGAAATCATTGTTCATTTTTGTCTATAGGCGTTTTTGTAGTATCTTCCATATATATATATATATATATATATATATATAT